TTTCATTTCAGCCTATATATACATCAAGCAGGTAACAATAAAAAAGGTATGTACATCGAATTTTACAATATATTTTTAACATACCTATCTGCAGAATCTGCAATAAAATTACTGGATCGTGGATAAGTTTTGGCATAACTCACAATTATATTTTTATTTGCTGTTGTTCTTTTAAGTATCAATTTAATTCCTCTATTAGGGTTTTACTCAAGTCTGTCTGGTAATTACTACATTTGAAAATAAATATTTAGGAATGTGCATGCGCTTCTAGCGGCGTGTGCGCGCGCTTCGCCTAGCTTGCCTTGAGCAAGATTTGCTGGTTGTGGGGTAGTTGGGATGTGGGCAGAATAGTTTCTTTTTTTTTTCAGTTCATGCAGATATTGGCTTCCTGGTGGATACAGGCGTTCAGCCCCTTGAACCTGAACAGAGCGTTTGTATGGAACTTTCCTTGCAGCCTTGATTGGATTGTAGAATTGCTGTGGATAACAGGAAGTGGAATGGCGGAAGGGATTAACAGCAGANTGAAATGAAATTCTGTTCCACGTCACAGGGGCATTTGTCTACTTGTTTTGAACTGTATATTTATCTCCACACATTGACACGCTTGAACTCCATATTTTTAAGATTCTTCAAAGATAATTGTTTTTATAATATGTTTTGTTACGTTCCCAAAGTGCTTGTTTGTGTGGAAGGAAAGTTTTGTTTTATATTCTTAGAGCTCAGCAGTGGTGGCGTGTGCAGCAGTCCACGGTGAAGATTTGTGACCTTTTCTATCCTACTCGAGGATCTGTGGCATTTGCTGATAAGGGATGTTGTGTGTTCTGTGATCAGGCTCTGGATGCTGGAAGTTGTTCGCCTACTGGAAGCCATCTGTTTCTACACGAGGTTCATTAGAGAAACTTCTCTTGATGTCTTAGAGCCGTAAGAATTGCCAGCACTCGTAAGTCCTTATGTATGACACAGAACTTTCTGTCTGTAGTTTTGGAATGTTATGATGTGCGGGTATCTCCCCAGCTCTGTGTATTTCCTGACCTTTTATGCCGATTGTTTTAGGGAAGACAGTATAGAATCAGTTGTTTTGAGCAAATTGTTGTATTTGGAAGGGGCAAAAGTCAGGGAAGTGGTTTTGATGATTACGGCATGAAACGAGGTCACTGTGAGATGTCTGTACTTGGATGATAATACTTGATATTTTGCCTGCATATTGCCTATTTTCAGTTCTGCCATTCTGCAAGAGAGATGAAACTTGTGCATGATAGAGAATGCCTTTCTATAACCGTGAGGCATTGAGGGAGAAACAGCCCCCCCCCCTTTTGGAGATTTTACTCTAGGGGCGATTTGTGTCAAGTTGTTGGAAAGTCCTCATGTTGGCGTAACTTTTTTATGGTATGCTGTATGTAGGGAATTACAGTTATTTAAAAATTTGAAGATTATTTCACTTTGATATTAACATCGTCACATGGTGATTATCTTATTACAGAAACCAAGAAATTCACATTACGATTGTGCACTATGTCACTAGATGTTGTTTCATACCACAGTGTAGTAGTTTGACATTTTTTTGCAGATGTGTTGGTACTTGGTGACTGCAAGAAATCACAGAAAACACAGTGGAGCACGTTTTGTAATGTATTAAGTAGGTGTATTTGAGTAAGAAATTTGGAGTACAGGAATACTTGGTAGTGTTCATCACTAAGAATTGCAATCAGTTCCTATACTCTCAGCTTTAGAACTGGTTTTGAATAGTAGAATATGGATTTAACCTTTAAGAGACAGCCCTTTAAATTCTGGTAATGGCTGCGGGACAGATTTAATTTAAATACCCGCAATTATAAAGCAATAAAAACTAATCATTTACTAAAATTGCTGTGATTTATACAATTTTTGTGATAAACGAACCAAATAAACGCTGCTTTTTTCTAGAAAGAATATAGAATCAGATATTGTAATTTACAGACTTTATAAAATGTGTAAAAATTTTTATACTGATTCCAACTTAAATATTCCTCAATTTGTCGTATGTCTACAAGAATTCATACAGTTCTTGCAAGTATGAATGCTGCTGAAGTGGCAACACAGCAGGTGCGCTAGCCGGGGCTTAGGCCTGCGTGTGTCAGTGTATATACATGTACGTTCTTTCGGTATGCAGAGGTGTCTGCGAGTATCTATTCGTTCATAAGAACCCTGATTGTTTTTTATCGCTTATAGCTACACAGCGAGTTCTCTGTTCTCACTCTGCTGCTGTTAATTATAAGAACTTTCAAGGTTAGCATCCTTATACCACAGCCAAGCAGTGTCAAAGCTTAGCATTCTGCGAAGTTGTGAACCAACCATTGCGTGGTCTCATTTGGAAGACTGGAACATATTTCAGCTCATAAATGACTCCGAATCAGATTGTTGTACCGACAATTCTGAGAGTGGCGTTGAGGAAAGTGAATCAGAAATTGATTTCGACGAAGAACCATCATCTTGGTCGGCAACCTGGGGACCACCACACCAGCATGGCAAGAGGAGTGTGAATAATTATTCAGGTGGAGCTGTGGGCAAACTGTGGCAAACAGTTATAGCATCTGTCGTCGAACCTGGAAATGGACAAATAAACTATTTTTCCATCTCCTGGATCTGAACAGTTACATCCTGTTGTCACACAGAGAATTTCGTCTCGCGCTTGTGCGGAACATGCTGGAAGGGGTATCTCCTGGGTCTGAACAGTTACATCCTGTTGTCACACAGAGAATTTTGTCTCGCTCTTGGGCGGAACATGCTGGAAGGGGTGCACCTCGCACCCAACAGCCCAGGGGTCGAACCCCTACCGTTTCATCAGAGATATCTCGATTAGAGGAGGCCAAACCACATCACTGGCCGACTTCCTCTACTTCGCAATTGAGGTGTCATGTGTGCTTTTCGCGTGGGAAACGAAGAACCGTCCGGACAAAATGCGTGAAGTGCGACGTCGGACTCTGCATTTCCGGATGTTTCCAAGAATTCCACAAGAAGGCAACATTCCGTTAGATAACGCAGGTGGGAAGACAGACAACTTATAAAGCTGGTGTCCAAAAATCATGTAAGTAGAACAAGAATTTATAACTTAAAATTAGATTTTATAAAGCCGGACGCACGCGTGGACTGCGCGACGACATATGTCGTCATTCGTCCCCTTGACTTTATTTGTGTGATTCCATATGTCGCCTTTAGGCTTTAAAGGGTTAAACTTCATCAGCCAGATTTCTTTCTGAACATTATCAGTAAGTTGTGCTCTATGAATGGCATCTGAACTACTGGAATTCCTTCTCCTGGCTGCTGGAAGAAGTTGCTTTAGCTTAACCACTGCTATGCAGGGAAGTAGTGAGCACTGTCAGGTAGCAGGAGACTGGAGTTTTGAATACAGCTCAAAACTTTGAGAAAGGTTTCGTGTTTTGTTGTACTTGTAGAGAACTAGTGATGTTTATGTATCTATTACAGTTGACTGAATATGATTTCCATTATCAGGTTTACACCTGTTGGGATGGGAAAAGGAGGTTTCTTTTTGTTTTCTACAGGCTTTGGACTAGCAAATCTACAGATAAAACAGCTCTTGGTCTGCAAAATGGAAGGAGAAATATTGGCACCATGTACAGTGTATTGGAGATCTGCAGTGTCATTTTCAATATGCTGCAGAAGTGACTGATGCCCTTTGAAGAGCACTGAGCAAGCAGCCAAGTCCCAGTATCACTTCATCAGTGGTGCTGTGTTTGTTCTATTTCAAGTGTAAGTCTGCATTCTGAAGGCAGTAGAGGACTGGATTGGTAGAAATGTACATATTGAACATTTCTCCTGTAAATTGGTGAGGAAAGGCCTGACAGCAAGCTTACGCTTGTACTAGAGGTAAATTGAAGTGTGTTCCTGGGATGTGGCTTTTTGCACACGTAAGTCCTCGTACCTTTTTTAAATAGAAGTTTCAGAAGTGGTGTTATTGTGATTTGTGAGATTCCTAATCATAATTGCTGGTGTTGAAAAGGCAGGGGGGCTCTCTGAGTTTTTCTGTTGCTCAGCATGTCTTCTAGTTAGGCCACAGGTGGCCAGTGTTGAGTCAGTTGGTACTGCATGGGACCTGACGACGCAGTCTGGAGAAGAGTAAGTACTCCTATTTGAAAGCTGTCGTGTTTTTAATAAAGGGCCTTAGTCATGTATATGGAAAATAATGGCTTGTTTATAATCATGATGAGGTCTGCATGTGCTCTGGGAGCCGTAACACTCTGGAAAGTATACATTGACATGGCTGGTGCATGAAGCTGACTACTGCCCTTACACTTGGTGTGGTGCTTAAGCAAGCACAAGGACAACTTTCCTGCATTCTGGAGTCGATGATGTCATATGCAGGTATATAAAATAATCAGTATTGGTACTGCGTTAAATTGACATGGGAACAAGTTTGTTCCAAATCTTAGAAGACTGGAAAATTTTCCGTGAATTGGAGTATAAACCGTGTTCTTTTGCTCAAGCCTGTTGTGTTTATTGTTCTTCCTCTAGACTGTATGTTATGCGTAACATCCACATGCAAGGGAAGACGACAACACGACACATGTGCTAGTTGGAAAATGATAACCAATACAGTGGGCTTATGCACAGAAAATAAAATGCAGACACCCAGGCCACTGCAGTGTAACAAATCCAGAGAGAGATAATGAAATTTATTGTTTAGACAAGTGGACAGTGGCACTAGTAGAGGTGTAAAAACAAATTTACAAAATTGTAACAAATTTTTAATTTAAATGTAAATTTGCAGCTTATGGAGTTTTAACTACTTCTAACTGGGTTATTGATTGTAACATCCAATATTTTCAGTCATGAAATATTGCAATTACAGGTGATGTAAGTGGACATACTTTTACAGTGGAACAGTTTTCACATAGCTGAGACACCTGAAGATGGCCGTTTGCATTGCTGACAGAATTGTATTGTGTACGAGAGGTATATTAATTCAACAGGATGCTTAAATACAGTATTGAAGATTGGTAAGTTTGAAGATTCTTGAACAAAACAGGGTGTTCTCAGAGAATTGGTTTTTAATTTGTAACTTGTAATCAGTCTGTCTCTTTAAGTATTCTATGTTTTATGCTATTTTAGAATGTGGCTTACAAACTATGAAGATGTTTTCCTCTCATAAAGAATATGAAAAAATGCAGTGTTGAAATATAAAATTTTCACCCTTTACCTGTTTTGCATGAAATACTAGTGTGTGGTAGCGTGAATGTATTTTAAGTCGGATCCTGCTTTATAGAAGGGATAGTGCCCTTGTAGTAACTTCACTACTTCAGGTGAATTTAGACTCTCCCACCCCCTCTATATTCAGTATATTTTCATATGTTCTAGGCAAAAAGAAAGTGCTTCATGAAGTGGGACTGTTCAGTTTTCTTTGATTTTGCTAAGAATGGGAAGCCAATTTGGTACTTGAATAGTAATGGACAGTTGCCCATGAAGTTACCGATCCCTTACAATAAATCTTATTTGAGAAAAACTGTTTTTCATTATATAAGGATGTAATGGTCCCTCATTCTTATGGCAGATTGTTCATTGTAGGAAATGTATGATTTTTACTTTATCATAATAAATTTGAAGTCACTCTGTATTTGTGTAATTATTTAATCCTCATCCCGTGAATTGTCAGTTAATCCTAGTAATATTTTATGCATGTGGAAGTGTATTCTCGTTAGCTGTCAATTGGATTTGGTAGAATTGCGGAAGAAGTAAAGTCTGGCGTGAAACTGTAGTGTTCAGAATGTGTGGAGCTCCACATCCCATAACCTGTATTGTCCGACCTTTTCCATGCTCAGGTCTACATTTATACCTTGCAATGCTGCTGCATCTGCAGTACTATGGAAGTAGGTTTGCTCAGTGGAATTGTTGGCCATCTATACATAAGATGACTCTGAAACTCTACAGTTATGCATCGTCTCAGGAAAAATTTGCAGTTGAACTCTTGAGCTCTCTACATGTAGAAGGGTAACTGACCGAAAACATCTTTCCAGTAACGTCAGGGTTGAAATGTATGATTTAATCCCTCCTCCTTTGTCATAAGTTTTGGCAATTGTACAGCTTGTAATTGGGTTTGAATTAAGGACGTCTCATTTTCCATGGAGGGAAGCATTTAAATCCTGTCGAAACTATAAGAAGGGTAAGCAATTTTTTGGGGGGGTGTTGATTGTAGGAGCCAGTCATGGTAGTGGGGCAGTCTTGAGGCATGTATTTTAAGCTGGGATCATGGGTTAAAATCCCACGCAGGGCACGGATGTTGGGCATGTTTTTATTCTGTGTTTAGGTACAGGCCTTGCGACAAGCTGATCACTCAGCCTCAACACCATAAGGGATAAGAGTGGATTAAGTATGTAAGGTGATTGAAGGAGAATATTGTCAATGTGTTGGAACTGTTTATGCTGTAATTGGCAAAGCTGTTTGTTATTGTACGTGTTCATAAATGATCTATTCCAGTATGTCGTTTGCCAAGTATAATTTAAGTGATCATGTCAAGGGGGGTGACATAGCAAGTCATGTTGAACACGGGTTGAAGTAGTTGGTATTTGGTGGGAAATGCAAGAGAGACTTAAGATCTAGAAATAGGTGGGAGGTTAATATAAATATTATGAGGAAAAAGTATGGAGTCTTGGGTCTGTAAGGGGTCAGGCAGACAGACTCTTGTGAACAAAGTGAAGGGTGGGGTTCCATAAAATATTGGGAAATTCTTGAGTATCCAGTACGCTCTTCCAAGTGACATGTGTTGTCCAGTTAAGGTTTTATCACAGCTGTAACAATATATCATGTGCTTTCGGTGGCCTTGGGCATGGGTTGTCATGCATGTGAAGCAGCTGAGCAAGACAGTATCCACAGAAGCAGTGGTTCTGGTTTGTGCATTAATGGTGAAAGCGGAACGTTCCTTCTGTAGCCATTAGTAATATCTCTTCTGATATATCTGTGGCACGCAAATCACTACTGAGCTATGGAATTGTCCTTCACCAATTTCATAAAATTATTAGTGCCCGTGTGATAGTGATGTTTCTTTGCAGCCTCCCACATTGCCAGAGCTACAGTAGCAAACCCATATCTGTGCCAGTGGGGATGATAATTGCATTTTCTGTTTTGAAAGAGAAACCTGACAGCATTCATTGACTCTCACACTTTGCTTCTTGTGAGAGTTGATAGGATGTGAGATTGGTGTGTGTCCCTTTAACTAGAAATGCAGTTCAAGTACTCCACCCTCTGTCTTATTTTAATTTCCTTAATGAGGTTCTTCATACTCTTTGTTACTTTATACAGAAAACACTCAAAAAGTGTTCCCAAGTATACTTTTTGGCAGTAGATATCCTTTTTAAGTGATGCAATTCATGGTTTAATACATCTCGCAGCTCGGTGATCAAGACAGACCCATTGCAGGCTTTTCGCTTTAATTCTTGGGTATAGTGATTCTGGAACTTAGATCAGAAATCTTGAAATGTCATGCGCAGCAGCAACTTTCTCTTCACATTTCCAGATTGGGGTTGTTTTCTGTAGCCCCCCTTCCATCCAAATTTGCAACCTTAGTTAGTTAGTTATTAGCGGCCTCCGTAGTCTAGAAGTAACATTCCCACCTCATGACTCGTAGTACGCGGGTTCAAATACCCGACGGAGGTCGTCGAATTTTTAAGGGCAGAAAAATTCAGGGAACAAGTCCTCCGGGAGGGACTTTAAGCCGTGGGTCCCGTCTCACAGCTTTACGGCACGTAAAAGAACCTCATATCTCCAAAGGAGGTCACTGAGCCAAATTAATGGACGTTTCCTGCCCAACAGCAGTCTCTAACACCTCTGGTAGATGGGGGAAGCATTATAGATACCTCTCAGGTACTAGAGCCAGTCTCGCTGGCTGGGCGGGACTGATGGTAAGCACCAGTACCGGTAGGATATAGAGACTGGTAGAAATCATAGAGGGAAGCACAGTGGACCAGTACAGGTCTCAGTGCATGGGGAAACCCACCCTCCAATAACTAACTAGTTATTGGAGAGGGTGGGTTTCCCCATGCACTTCGACCAGTATTTGTCCATTGTGCTTCCCTCTATGATATTCTACCAGTCTCTATACCCTACCGATATTGGTGCATACCATCAGTCCCGACCGAGACAGGGAGTTCGGCCTCACTGGCTTGGCGGTATCTATAATGCTTCCCCCATCTATCAGAGGTTTTAGAGACTACTGTTGGGCGGGAAACATCCTTGAATTTGGCTCAGTGACCTCCTTAGGAGATATGAGGTTCTTTTACGTGCCGTAAAGCTACGACAAGTCCCTCCCGGAGGACTTGTTCCCTGAATTTTTCTGCCCTTAAAAATTCGACGACCTCTGCCGGGTTTGAACCCACGTACTACGAGTCATGAGGTGGGAACGTTACCTCTAGACTACGGAGGCCGCTAATTTGCAACCTTACATCTTAATGAAGCCATAAACGTTACTGATATTTCCCATCCTTAAATATGAATTCACCCTCCCCCTTGTATTATGACAAATTTGTGGTAATACCAGGTGCACAGAGAACTTCTGCAGCGTTACAGATCCGTTGTGGGTGAATGTCGTGATCTTAATTAATAATAGTAGGTCTTGTAATGACCATTGTCTCCCCTCACTTCTTCAGAGATTTGTGTTGGTTACTGTACCACCATGCAATGGGATTACGAATGCATGCGACTGTTCCTCTACCTTGTGTGTAAGACAGATCTAACTTCAGTTTGGAGCTGTCTTGAAATAGTAATGTGTTAACAACAGCCTAAATATGCACAAATCATTTCATAACAGACCTCCAAGTTCCATTTCTTTTAAATCCATTCAAAATTGTATTTGTATTTTATGTAACAAGGAATGGCTTTCTCTGGAATTAGCCTATAATAAACAAATCCTGTGGTGATATTTTTAATTATGTTAATTATCTGCCATTCTCTAGCTGTAATACACGTTCATGAATAGATTTAGTTACAGAAAACTTTCTTAATGCTAATTCCTCAATAAACAATTTTGATCCATGTTATTCCTGTGTAGTAGATTTCAGACTAAGGTTAGCAGTTTGAATCCAGATGAAATTTATATATTGTATTGACTGCGAACCCTCTGAGTTTGTAACATGCTGTTATTACAAGTCATCTGCAATATAACACTATTCTGGTGAGTCATCGAACGTTTTGCAGGAGCATATTGCCTCCATCTGCAGGGTGTCTTGATTCATGCTTGTTTCTTTGGCTTGTCATTAACCCTGAAGTTGGAGTTCATATGTCAGTTGCATTCTGCTGAACTGTGCAGCCCTTCATCACAGAAGATGGAACTGTTCACAGCCACTGATGCGAAAGTCTCAAACGCAACCCCAGTGTTATCAGAGCTAGTAACTACCCACTGACTGTAGTAGGGCTACAGCTATTGCTTATCCTGCCCCCTTAAAATTCTGTGTACAAATTTGGGAAGGTTCCAGAATATAATGAAATGTTAAATATTAAAGGTTTTAAATACAAACCCTCCTTCCAAGCAGCAGTGAAAACAACACAGCGAGCCATGAGCAAACCCTGGACGACATCAAGAACCTCCTCATCAAGATAGACAGGCGGCACAAAATCTGCCCCATGCAAGAAGGACGATAGGAGTATGGACACAAACCTACGTTGTTTAAAAAATTTTAACTAGTGACAATAAAAGTTTTTTAAATTAACGTCTAGAAACTTTTAAAAACTTTACAATACCAGGAAGCTGCTGTGATTGTGAAATGTTCAACTTTATGCGTACTGTGCATTATAGGATAAGTGTATGTATTTTAAATCAAAACACCTATTGTGATGGTAGTTCCCAGTTCGTAATGATGTTCCCTCTGAAGATGGTCTGTAAGGACCGAAACATGTAAGGGAGGTAAGTTTTCATGTAGTAAAAACTTATATGTCACACTGGACAGAGTGGTTTGTATTTATAATTGTTAGTGTGACAGACCAGAATGAAACAAATTAAATTTATAAAAGGTTTTTTAGTAAACTGAATACTTATCTTTTACCACCTTTCATGGTATTTCAACATAGCCTGCTGAAAATTTACCTTTTAGTTAATTATAATAACGATAATTTTATTTAACATTCATCACAGTTACAAATTGTAACTCTCGAACAAGTCACATACATATACAACTTTTCCAGTCAATNCAGTTCGTAATGATGTTCCCTCTGAAGATGGTCTGTAAGGACCGAAACATGTAAGGGAGGTAAGTTTTCATGTAGTAAAAACTTATATGTCACACTGGACAGAGTGGTTTGTATTTATAATTGTTAGTGTGACAGACCAGAATGAAACAAATTAAATTTATAAAAGGTTTTTTAGTAAACTGAATACTTATCTTTTACCACCTTTCATGGTATTTCAACATAGCCTGCTGAAAATTTACCTTTTAGTTAATTATAATAACGATAATTTTATTTAACATTCATCACAGTTACAAATTGTAACTCTCGAACAAGTCACATACATATACAACTTTTCCAGTCAATTTGGCCTCCTGCCCAATCGATTGAACGTCATCATATATCACTATAACATAACATTCAATTACAATTAAAATCACACTCTCGGTATAATTAAAGTAT